TGTCACGCACAGAGCAGGGCCATCAGGGGTTGGGGAGCTCCCCCCTGTCATGCACAGAGCAGGGCCATCAGGGGTTGAGGAGCTCCCCCCTGTCACTCACAGAGTAGGGCCGATAGGGAGTTAGGGCACCGCCCCTGTCACACACACAGCAGGGCGATCAGGGGGTTGGGGTGCCGCCACTGTCACACTCAGGGCAGAGCCGTGGGGAGGTTATGGCTCTACCCCATCACACACAGAGCAGGGCCCGTGTAGGGGGGGTGGGGGGGTTGGGGGCGCCACCCTCTATCACCCCACAGAGCAGGGGCCGAATCAGGGGGGTTGGGGGCGCTGCCACTGTCACACTCAGGGGCAGGGCCCGAATGGGGGAGGTTATGACTCTACCCTGTCACACACAGAGCAGGGGCCTGGGGGGTGGGGGGTGGGGGGGGGGTTGGGGCGCCACACCCCTGTCACACACAGAGCCGCAGGCAGTTCATTGGGTTTGGGCACTGCCCCCTGTCACGCTGATCCGGTGCCAGGAGGCTCGCGGCTCCGCTGATCCCAGTGCTGGGAGGCATATTACCCTTTTACTATATAGGATAGAGGCCTGGGGGCGGGCTGGTTTGCCCTGAAGGGTGTCCTGGATCAGGGTGGGGGTCCCCACTGGGGTGCCTGGCCAGTCTGGGTGAGGAGCTGAGGGCTGCTTTCAGGCTGGCAATTGACTGAAGCTCCCAACCACTCCTTTTTTTCTCTTATTTTTTTTTTTTTTTATTCTGGGCCAGCTTTAGCTCTGGCTCTAGCTCTGAGGCTTCCGCTGCTATAATCGAAACAATGTATAACTCTAGCTCTGAGATCCCGGCTGGCTGAAAGCTGGTTTCTGGGGTTTTGTTTAACTTCTATATTTGTTACATAGTTTCTTAGAGTTGTAGCTCAGAGGCCGGCAGCGCAGGCGGGGAACGTTAGAGTCTGCAGTCACTGGAGCAAGCAAGCCTCATGTTCGCTTCCAGCTGCCTGGCTGCCGGCCGCCATCTTGGCTGACAGTTAATTTGCATAAGGATATGCTGATTAGCCAATGGGAAGGGTAGCGGTCGTACGCTAATTACCATGTTTCTCTTTTATTAGTGTAGATTAGACTTTAATTCTAAGTTTTTATATTGTCGAACTGACCCAGTGTTAAACCTCAGAAGCCACTTCTGCTCCCATTCTGTTCCCCTTTAATCACCATTGAATTTCCCTTTTTATGTTAATTGCAAATAGCCCGATCATTTATTAAAGGCAAACGTCTGTCAAACTTTGATGCACTTCATTCCAAATCTCAGTTATGGCATATCCCTAAAAAGAACACAGAAGTACCCAAAATTCCTTTTGCATAAGATTGGACTTAATATGAAAATCTCATTTTTATTCCATTTCACTATTATTATTTTTTCACTGTTATTTTGAACAGACCTACTTTCTGATGCATATGAGTACTTTTCCATAATTCTAGAAATCTGAGATTTTCAGAATAAGTATTTTGCCTTATACTCCTTAGTATTAGTTATAAAAAATAGCCTGGCTCTAAATTGCTTTGGGTCAGTATCTTCTGACATAGGAAATGAGAAACCTGAACAGTTTCCCCCCTTTTAAAAAAATACGTTTTTATTGATTTTAGAGAAGAGGGGAGAGGGATAAGGAGATAGAAACATCCATGAGAGAGAGAGACACTGATGGGCTGCCTCCTGCACTCCCCCGACTGGGGATCAAGTCCGCAACCCGGGCATGTGCCCTGACCAGGAATTGAACCGTCTTTTCCTGGTTCATAGGTCAATGCCCAACCACCGAGCCACAGCAGCCAGGCACAGACGTTAATTTTTAAAAAGTCATTTAGAGTTGTTTTGCTAGGGTTTCTCTTTTGTCAAATCATTTAAGTATTTTATATTTTTTACTGAGACTCAATTTCTTTGTTTCAAAACTGGTCATATGATGATCATTTGTTTTTAATTTCTAATTTTATACTTTATTTTTTAGAGATTTGGAAAACATTACATTTATATGACTTCTGTGTTTTTAATTTTTTATGTAGCCCGGAGTAGGAACAAAAATTGCTGAAAAGATTGATGAGTTTTTAGCAACTGGAAAATTGCGTAAACTGGAAAAGGTAAAATTTAACTTATTTATTTGCTTATTTGATTATTGTGTCTATGTTTATGGCAGCTATCATGGAGCACCATTGCAGGTGATTAAGACTCAGAAGGCAAAGAGAAGAGAGGAGTTTATGGCTTTGAGTGTCTATTTTTAAAAATTTTGAATATTCTATAAAATGTTCACTTATTTTATGTGGCAATTAAGAGACTATTAACATATATAATAGAATTATCTTCATATTTTCAGAACCATTCAGGAGGGAGATTATAAACTTTGACTAAAAGGTGTTATCTTTTAGAACTTCAATGCTTAAACTCTCCCAAGCATTGTTATGGTTTTATTTCACCCTGGTGAGAGTAATTATATCACTTCTGGTTTTTTATGAATGTCTTTTAAGAGTATTGGATAAGTTAGAGATGAGACATCTTTAGCTGCTCTGTTATCACTTACTAGAGGCCTGGTGCACAACATTTGTGCACTGGGGGAGGAGGATCCCTCAGTCTGGCCTGTGCCCTCTTGCCGTCTGGGACCCCTTGCTCTTTATTGCCCGCCTGCAGCGGAGGTGGTGGGAGAGGCTCCCGCCATTGCCACAAGCCTGCCAGCTGCAAGCCCGGCTTCTGGTTGAGCGGTGCTGCCCCTGTGGGAGCACACTGACCATCAGGAAGCAGCTCCTGTGTTGAGCATCTGCCCCCTGGTGGTCAGTGTGCATCATAGTGACCAGTTATTCCTCCGTTCAGTTGATTTGCATATTAGGGTTTTATTATATAGGATAACCACCTAGGTTATATATGAATACTCCTTTAAGGGTTATCCAGACATATGTAAGTATTGGTATGTTTCCAATAAGATCATTTGAGCCCTTGAAGCATTCTTCTTAAATCATTGTCATGCTTTTTTTTTTCCCCCTTAAAGATTCGGCAAGATGATACAAGTTCATCCATCAATTTCCTGACTCGAGTTACTGGCATTGGGTAAGAACTATCTTTTTTCTTTTTTTAAAATCCTCACCCAAGGATATGTTTTTATT